GTTATGAAGGAAACCGTCCGTCGGAATGAAAAGTGGAAGGAGAGAGATCGCCGGCGGCGAGAGGTTACGTACTGCAAACAAAATCGAACTCGTCTAAAAGAGAACCACGGAAACAGAGAGGGAGTGATAAATTTGTAGTGCGGTGTGGCGGTTCAGTTATCCTATTGGGATTAATTATAATTTTGGTCATTGAAGTTTTTTAGAATGTGTACGATGGTCCTTGATGTTTAAACAGTATTTTTGTTTCCCTTTTTTTTTTTCTTTCGGTCCCTCAAACAATATTTTTGTCACATTTTTCCTTTTTCTTGTCTTTGAACATTTTTTGCTTGGCTCTTCTAGATTTCAATTTTTATTGGTATTTATGGTAAGCATATTTCTACATTAGCTTTTACCCACATCTAAATTAATTTTTTTCTAAATTATTAAAAAGATGCACTTTTCATATTAACTTAATGTATTTAAAAAAAATTAATTTTTTTAGATGTTGATCTTAAGATTTAATTCTAAATCTAGCCATTAGTATTACGAGATTTGATTATTTTGTGAAATTACAAAGTACTCATGCCAAGATATAAACACAAAATTGACAAAAAAAAATTATATAAAAAATTAAGATGATAGAAGTATAAAAGAAGACAATGAGTTGGCCGATATGGTACTATGTTAGAAACTAAAGGTAAAGAAGAGAAAAGAAAATGAAGAAAAGCAATTGCTTTTCTTCATTAATATATATGTATAATGACATATATAAAAAAAAATATTTATATAAACATATAATAATATAAATACGATTTGATTATAATAATATAAATAATTGATCCTTATTTACAGTGCTCATATTTTAACAATCCAAATAAAACGTGACTCAACCACTAAAACAAATACTTAAATTATGTGTTTAGTACAAATCTGAAGCCCCTGTAGACCATTCTGTCCAATCCCAAGTGATTTGATTACAGGAAAAAAAAGAAGAAAAAAGATAAAGAAAAAGATTTCATGATGCTGTATCAACAAATGAATAGTTGGCAACATTGTAGGGGAAATCATGCAATTATTGATAAGGTGAGAGGTTGCTTGTCCTACTTGACTACAGAAAACAGGTCGATTTAATCCTTCTAGCTTTTGACTTTGCCACTTGCATAATGCTTAATTAAATAGGATAGTAGCGGGGGACGGCCAAAAACAAAAGGCAAAAGGCAAAGGGCTTATAGCCATTCATGAAAACCATTCATCCAAGGCAAAAGAATTATATAAAGTGAAAATTAAATTATTTTAACATTATAAATATTAAGATATTTAATTTTAATTATATAATAAATAATATTTAAATAATATTTTATTATATTTTACATATTTTATAATTATAATTAAATATTTTAATATTTTTAATGTTAAAATGTCCTTTTTTTTTCATCTCAAAGAATTATTTTAAAAAGGGGGAAAAAAAAAGAAGAAAGGAAGAAAGAAAGAATATAAAAGAGTGAGATCTGAGTGGAAGACAAAGAAACTAAGTGTGCCTAAGCCATAGGCGAGGTAGTCGGTGAGTGAGACAGGGTGTTTAAAGTTTTTGGCCGAGCAGTTTTAGCTTGTTTCACATTTGAAAAATATTGCAAGTGAGGAACGTTTGAATGTTCAGGCTACTTGGGAATTACAATTTGCCAGTGTCCATCACAAATTGTATCAAAAAATATTTGTTGTACTAATGAAAATTTTACCTTTTTTTAAAAAAAAAAAATTGGTTTTCGATAATTACAAATTTTATAAAATAATAATAAAACTAAAAATAAGAAATCACCACCAAACTAAACAAAACCTAAATCAATAGAGTTAATAAACAAAACATTTCACCAATGAAGTGTAGCTAAATTGATGCTTGCTAACTAAGAGAATGTTTTGATTAACTATTTAAATATAATTAATAGCTGATAATAGATATCTCATAATTGATAATTATCATTATTTATAATCTAGAGTGTTTAGTCTGTTTAATTAGGGCAAATGACTAATAGCTATTTGGAAAAGGACAAAACAAATACTTCCTACAAATCTTGATTTGGGATTGGTAATAATATAGTTATAATATTATATAGAATTATAAACTTACCATTAATTTTTTTAGAAATGAGTTAATGTATACAATATTATAAGTGAGTTCTTAAATAAAAAAAAAACTAATCATATAATAATATATTATGATTATAAGATTAAAATATCACACAATATTATAATTATATTATTTTTTTTATTTAAGATCAAGGTAACATATATACATATATATATTTGATACGTAAAAGTTAGAGATTGAATTTTAGACATGTAACTAAGAATATATATAATTTTACTATTAAATTATATGACTGAAAATATCAAAAATAAATAATACCAGATAATCAACTCTCCTATATATTAAAAAATAACCTTTTCATAAAGCCCCTTTTTTTCTGTGTCTCAGCAATCCACCTTCTTTTGTGCTTTAGTACTCTCGAGCTCCATGCTCTTTTAGGAAGGAGCACTAAAGCCCCGCTGCAATCCCAACTCCTTAGAGATAAATCCACTACTAAATAATTGTTTTTTTATAGGTTAGATTTAGTATTAAAGTTTCGAAACAATACTTTAGAAAATTAACTTTATTAACAAAGTTGATATAGGAATAAGTTTTTAAAAACATTTAAAAATAAATTAATTTCAAAATATATAAAAATTAATTTAAAGATACCAATAAATAAATAAGTAAATAATCCCTAAGGCCCCATTAGATAGTGGTAAACACGATGCCTTCTGGAATGTGGTTTTCAATGCTCCCTCGAGGGACCACTAGAGATTGCACTTTGCTCAGAATCACTAGACATGGTACCACTATGCTGCAAAATGACCAACTGTAAAAACAGTTAGCATCAATGCACACAACTCTTATACATAATTTTTATACAAATTTTGATAGTTTATTCTTTATTATAAATTATTGAAATTTATTTATTTTTATCATACTTTTAAAATATGCCTTTTTCATCTAAAAAATTATAATGAATTTCAATAAATAATAGTGAAAAAGAATGGCTATAATTTTATAAACTTATAAGAATTGTGTGCAAGAGAATAATATTTCAAAGATAAACCCCTAAAACACCCCTAAACTTGTCATCTTTAAGGCCATTCGCCCCTGATCCTAAAACTAGAGAGATTATGCCCCTCAACTATAAAGCCTACCAAGGAGTAACCCTTTCGTTAAAACATCATTAAAAAGCAAAAAGGAAAAATTGCTGCTAAGTCCTGTAAGTGAAAATTCCAAAATGACACTCTGGGTACAAATATAAATTGTTGTCAATTAGATCTCAACTCTAAAGAATATAAGCACAATGGTCTAGGTAGTACCAAAGATATTGAAAAAGTATTAAATTTCACTTTAGATTTATTATATAATGTATTTACAAAAGTTAGAAAAAATAAAAATATTATTAGAAGCCTTTATTGACGAAATTGGAAAATTAAATTGTACACACACTTAGTTTTTTTATACATTCAAGATTCTTAAAACACACTTTTCAACAAACTCACTCTGACTTCCACTCTAACTCCCACTTTGATTTATAAGATGCAATCCATGCCTTTTTATATGTAGCAAGGGTAAATTTCAAATTTGAACTTTACACTTAGTTTTCTAAAATATAAGACTCTAGTATAATTATTCAGTTTTTAAATTTGAACTTCAACGCTCTTAGAGTAGTATAATTATATGGCTATCTACTTTATGATAGGATTCTCTCATGGTTTTTGCTTTTTTTATCATGTTTTCTATGTTGTACCACTTCTCATCTGTCATATTCTCCCAATAGTAGCTATCATTATTACTATCATTTTTTGAGATATTTTTTTCATTATTGTTTTCTTTGGTCATTTCCTCCTTTCATGGCCTTAGAGAAGTTGATGATTCTCCTTCTTCCAACATTATAGCTAATTTATTTTTCAATGTCTACTATTTCTTACCTCTTTTCTATAGTGTGTATTGGTTTTCTCAATTCATAGTACCTTATCATATATTCTATATATTGATCTATCATTTCAAGTGTTGTATTTTCTACATCATTTTGGAATTTATGAGTTGTGATATGGTTTGTTGGAACAATGAAAATATTAGCATTTCAAATATTGGGACTTACTTATAATATTTAAAGAACTTTAGGAATCTGTTGTCAAGTAAGAAAAATCCAAAATCAGTAAAGTAACGATAAGAGTAACGGTCAAAGTAAAAAATTTTGGATAATGGCTAAATCGCTTATATTTAATTAGTAGGTTAACAGTGAAAAACGTTAATTTATAACTTCAAGCGCTAAAGGTCTTAAAGATGAAAAGTTTAAGGGCTTCCAGCAGGTATAAACCCTACCATTTCTCGTGAAAAATTGTTTCGCCGCGTCACTGAGCTGAGACGTAGAATCTCTTTGGATCGTTTACAAAGTCGGCCCAAATCCAATTGCAGAATTAAGCCCATGAAAGGGTCAAAGAGGCCCAGTGGCCCAGCCCCTTACAGACCTTCTTCCCCAACAAGAAAACACTGCACTTTTCTTTCCTGCTTCTCACACTTCTCACTTCTAAATCCCGCAGAAACCTCTCAACAAGAAAACTCCGATTCTTCCCCGTCAAAGTAAATCGCTTTGCATCTCTCTTCGCCGGAAATATCACCTACAGAATTTTGATCATCTGGTTCAGCTGATCGTGTTTTTCTCTTCTATATTTTCAGGGTTTTCTCTTTCGCTGTAATTCAAAATCATGGGTGATAGTCAGTACTCATTTTCTCTCACTACTTTCAGGTATGTGATTCCGTTTCCCAGTTATTCGATTGATTAATTCTTCATTTCGGTTGCTTATACTTGTTTGTGTTTGTGGTACAGTCCTTCCGGCAAGCTGGTTCAGATCGAGCATGCCTTGACGGCTGTTGGGTCGGGGCAAACATCTCTAGGGATCAAAGGTACTTTGAATTTTCTATTTTAAATCTTTTGGAAAGTGGGTTCCTTTCAAATTTTTGGAATATGTCAAAAGTTTCTGAATTTATGTGTTCAGTTTATAAAATGGGGATCCGTTTAGATGAGTTTTTGAGAGAGAGAATTTGGTTACTGGTTGGTTGTTTTAAGCTATGTGTCTGCAAATGCACACATGGGATTTCTATCTCTAATGGGTTTATCTGTAATACTTCAGCTGCTAATGGGGTTGTGATTGCTACTGAAAAGAAGCTGCCTTCTATCTTGGTTGATGAGACATCTGTGAGTATTTTCTTTGGTCTAGATTTACTGATGCATATTGGTTGATAATCTTCGATGAATAAAGGCCTCAAATGATACCATGTATGAATCATATTTTCTTGAATGCAGCTTGTCTGCATCGTTGTGCTTTTCCCCATCAAATATTGAGAATATGTTATTTGCTCCTCTTAGTCTTAATGGTACAGGATATGCTAACTAAAGTAGACTTGCAATGATCTTTGTGTAGATAGTGCATATCTGTCCCTTTCTATTTTGAAAGGATGCCAAGCTAAAATTAATACCAAATAATCTTATTATTGGTCTGTATGTCTGTATCTAACCAAATGTGGGACCTAGTTCGAAAAATTGAAAAAAAAAATTATTTTCTGTTTGTCTCTTTCCACATCTCTTTTTAAAAAGAATTTTAGAGCTCTTGAGTTGATTGAATTCTCTTATCCCTTGCTGCTGTACAGTTAGTTAATTATCTCAATGTTTGCCATTGAATTTGTGATATCAGGTTCAGAAAATACAATGCCTTACTCCAAATATTGGAGTTGTTTACAGGTTAGCTTTCTTTATGCTTCTTGGTATTTGGGTGACTCAGTTCTTTGTCTTTTTCCAATAAGCATTGCATGTAGTTAGCACCTCTAAAATGAAACATGGCTTGATTATGCAACTCTAAAATGATTTCATGATTTTCTTGATACATTGCCAATAACATGATTTGATACTGATTAGTATTTCAATTTTTTTTTGTCAGTAATTACCTTGTGTTTTCTTAATGTGAATTGTCAATAATCCATCGGGAAAACTGTGCTTTTGATTTTCTAAAAGAAAGGTTGGAAGATTTAAGATTAATTTATGCATACTTGAATAAGTAGGAAGGAAAAATTTGCTTCTAAAATAAGTGTCCTGGTCCTAAATTTTTTTGCTTTAGTCTGCTAGTAATATGGCATCTGGGTTTGTTATATTTATTCCTTCTTCCTTTTACTCTAATACTCTTTGTCATCATTTCTTCACCTACAGTGGCATGGGCCCAGATTTTCGAGTTTTGGTTCGAAAAAGTAGGAAACTGGCTGAACAATATCACAGATTGTATAAGGTAAATGGTGGCTTTCATTTGTTTTGTTTTTTAGCCTTGTTTGGTTGATCTTTTCATCATAGTGCTCACCTACAGTCAATCGCATTTGACCTGTATACTCTTCATTGAATGATCTGCATTTTAGTTAAAGGTTTTGCATCAGTTTCTGAGTTCTAATGTTGTACATTGCATGCCTTTAACTTTGTATCCAAATTTCATGTTTGTAGGAGCCAATTCCAGTAACACAACTTGTAAGGGAAACTGCAGCTGTTATGCAGGAGTTCACTCAATCTGGGTAAGTAATTTTTCTAAGCACTGATATCATTCTTTTTCCTTCACTCCTCTTTTTTTTTTTTTTCCAGAAATCATGATTAAGCATGGGAGTTTGATGAGTCTGATTGTTTTGTAGATTCTTATTGTCAGAATCAGACTCTTTCTCAAAGTGAATGTTGCAGGATTTTTGTGCTACTTTTTAAAAGCTTTTATTATTTTAACTTGCATTGAGACAAATTTTTACTACAATGAGAAAGAAAAGTAGTAAAATGTATTTACGTTTGTCTTGAAAGTTTTTTTCCACTGATTGATAAGCAGAGGAAAATTTATTGCTTCTCATTGTATCAAATCGCTGTTACTGAAAATTTAGCATACCATCAGAACACACTTCAATGCTGATCTAGGTTCCTTTCTTTTGTAGAGGTGTTAGGCCTTTTGGAGTATCCCTACTTGTTGCTGGATTTGATGATAGTGGCCCACAGTTGTATCAGGTACACTCCATTGGCTAACATACCATTATATGAATCTCAATATACATTTGCTGTCAGCAGCTGGATTGCTTAGAATATTTTACGTGCTAATCTTAGCCTCTTTTTACAACTTTTTTTTCAATATAATTGTTGCATTGCTACTTGCTTGTGATTCTAAAGCTTTTTAGTCAATATTATATGCCAAGATGGCTTGAATGTGATGATGTAATTGATTCTGCATAGGTCTTAAACATGATTCTCTTCTCCTTCTAGGTTGATCCTTCTGGATCATATTTCTCATGGAAAGCCTCTGCGATGGGAAAGAATGTATCAAATGCAAAAACATTTCTGGAGAAAAGGTATTTGCCTTGCTTTTAGTGCTTAACCTTGCACCAGTTGTAGTTCTTCCTATTATTATATCTGTTATATCTATTATATTAGCTATTGATATTTGAGAGTTCATTCCTTTATAATCATCTTGAGAAGATATTTTTTCACTCAAACTTGGGGGTTCAGAAGGAGACCGAGTGGCCTTTAGCATGCTGCCAAATCACCTTATTATTCAATCATCAAAATTTTGTTATAAATTTTACAATCAAACCTTGAACCTCCTGTCTTTGTATGCTCCTCAACCAAACTAGGTGGGCTGGTTTTTATAACCTCATCCCTATAGACTCATAAATACCATATGTTGATTTCTTTTCTCACATCATCGTCACTTTCCCTTATAAATCCCTCTGATTTCCTTTCCCTCAAATCTCTTGATTCCAAAGACAATAGAAGATGAATTTTCTTACCTTTCCTAAATCAGATTAGTCCAATGTGAAATTCTGAATTCATGATAGATGATATGCTTTTTTTAAGAATTGAGTTAGACTTTCGTTTGATTGAGATTTCTACCCTCTGAATCATCAAAGGTAAAGTTGACTTTTGCCATGTAGATACACGGATGACATGGAGCTTGATGATGCCGTTCACACAGCTATTTTAACACTGAAGGAGGGGTATTTTTTTACTTTCCACCACCTTTTTCATAACTTTACAAATATCGAGAATCTGTTTGTGAAAACTTGGAAAAGATGTTGTGTAAGGAATTTTCTATTTCTTCGTTTCTCTAGATGCGTTACCACCTATTTTTTAACTTTGCAGATTCGAAGGACAAATCTCAGGGAAAAACATTGAGATTGGGATTATTGGGACCGACAAAAAATTCAGGCAAGTTCTTGATTTGTATTTCATTTTAATTTTTACACATTTTCATGTAATTACTGTACTATGTGTAATTATTGAAGTTCTAGAATTGCTAATTTGAAATGCACTCCTCAAAAGACCAGCTATCATACTCACAATTGTTGAATGGAAGTTCTAAATAAGGATCGATAACACATGGCATTTTAGTTGACGTTCATGCAAATTTTAACTTATAAAATGCAAATGGTTCAGTGTTCAAGGTCTTATCGATCAGTGGTTAAGTTAACCTGATTATGATTGGTTACTTTGTCCTTCTGCAGAGTGCTAACGCCAGCTGAAATTGATGATTATTTGGCTGAAGTGGAGTAGCTTTCATCTTAGTGGAGACGATTTGCATAGACTTTATTACATGTGGCCTCGACTTTTAGGCTAATATTCAAGTCAAATTGTTGTCAGGGAACAAAAACTTCCATCATTTCCTGTATGAATGCCTAAATTATTACATTTCCTTTATTTTAGAACTCCAATATCGACATGCCATTGATGGGTCTTGGCCCCTCACCCGGTTTGATAAAATACTCTGTTTCTCTCTTGCACATTAATGTTTGGATTGAATGTTGGGTCATCAAGAAAGCCTTAGTGAAGAAACTATTTCTTCTTCGTCTTTCCTGTCCAGCTTCTTCAACCAACAAGCAGCCCTCGCCATCTCCGGTTAGAGTTTATGAGGTTGCTATGGAGAAAAACCCTTCAATTGTGATATGCTGATAGATGAGCTGAGGATCCTGGAGTTTCTCTCGGGTGGGTTAAACCATTGTTTTTTTAGGTTGACAGTGTGGCACGGTATTCATAATTGTACATGTAAAGAGAGCGCTGAGCACAACATGCCTTAACATGGAAAATGAATACATTGACATGTTCAGACACAAAACAACCCTAAAGCACTCGTACAAGATATGTTACAGATAAAATTAACCAGCAAAATGTATGGTTCCAACAGCATATTGTTAACAGAGTACTAAACTTCTAACGTCTGCTTCAATCCAAACGAACACTAAAATGTCAAAAGAGGAAAATAATACACCAAATGTACATCAAACAACCGACACTGATTTTGAACCTTGAGAGAAAGCATCTTCTTGCTGATCATCTCCAAGCTTCTCGGAGCACAAACTTGGTGGGATATAGGATTTGAATATCTGTTCCATGTTAAGCGTTTCTTTCGGTTCATGGCAAACAACCTCAAGAGGTGTATGACGAAAGGCCGGATAGAATTTGTTGCTACAGACAAATGCAAAGATCAAGGATAGTGCTATAAGTACAACTACAAATTCAGTATAGTAGAACTTCTTAACACCTAAGTAACCAAGCATGGTGAGTTGGTATAGCAGCAAAGCAGCAAGCACACGCTTATGTATGTGCGGCCACATCCTTCCATAGCTCTCATATGACGGAACATAAACTTTCAGTGCCTGTTGAATGACATAGCAAGAAATTATTTGTAAACAAGAAACCAATCTTCCTGTTGCAGAAGCAGTATAATCTGTTTAACATGAAATTAAGTTTGACAAAAGTGATGGTAGGAAGAAGAGGAAATTAGTGAAGGAAAACCTGATTCCGAAGAATGAGCCATCCTAAGCCAAAGTAAAGCACTCCAAATGGAATGATAATAGGAGCAATGACTGAGTAGCAGAGGACAATTGTGACCACAAGCATGTCACCAGGAACTCTAGTTCCATAGCCAAGATCTCCAGGGAACCAAGCGTCTTTTATCTCAGCTTCAGTTTTGCAAAGATACTTCTTCTTCAGGTGAAATATGATCAGAGGAACTAGTCGAGAAAGCTCAAGTCCATATCCCACAAAAAACCTGTGACACAAAAATTTATATTTAGTGGAGAATCACAATTCAATGGAAGCTTAAGATAAGATAATAAGCTTAAACTTACTTGAGAGCAATATAGGTGATGAAGAAAGTTGCATTGCTTGGGAGGCTTTTGGCCAATAAAGAGACAATGGATTTCGGATGCTTCTCAATGGTCTTGATTGTACTAAATATTGTTCCTCCAACAGTAACTCCAATGAAAACATTGATCACAACGAAATAAAAGTATTTGCCAGATGCAGCCCTGATTGCATGGCTCTCAGAATGAATTCCTTCAGCCTTGGAGAGAAACAAAAGAAACTTGGGTAACAAAGCCAAGAATATAATCAGAGCAAGCTGTGGAAGATAAGCCTCTAATATTGTCCTGATTGCAGCGATATTGACAACAGGCTTTAAAAACGGGAGAAGTTTCTTCAGGTTATCAAGGGTTGTGAATGCAGAAATAAAGGCTATTGGAATCATGTAAAACACTATGGTCAGAAACACAATGATATACACAACACACGGTCGTGTTTGCCTGTCGAAGAACTTCATTGTGAGATTGTTCCATATAAGTTGACGAGGCTCAGGAGCATCTACAACTGTCCAAGTATCAACCATCTGAGCGTGCAAACTTTGTCCAGCACAAGCTGCAGTCATCCGACTGGTAAAGAAAACTAGTGCAGAACATTGCTGCTTCTCTCGAACAGTGGCCCTTTGTTCAGCTTCCAATTTGGGGATTAGTTCATTGATCTTTCCAGTGTAGTATTCTATGCTATCAACCTTTTCACCAACAAGACCAAGGAAGCCAGTTTTGTTTGTTGGTCTTATTCCTGCTGCATTGCCTTTCTTTGATTCTTCATATATTGCTTCTGCACGCACAAGCTTCTTCTTGTAACCTTCCAATTCTTGCCAGAGTTTATTAACCTAAAATGAAAGCAAACAAGATGATTTTAAAATCAGTGTATCATATTCTGTTACTGCAACCAATACAGCAATATTGATACAGTATGAGAATAGATGAATTGAGGAATCAAAACCTGTTTGTTGGCTGTGACTACCAGAGATCTGTAGAATGTCTCGGGATAGATAGCTCGAAAATACGAATCCACCTGTTCTTTTCTGCTTTGACCTTTAGGGGCATTTGGCAAGTCTCTAACAAGAACAGCAAATTGCTCCGGTTTCGGAGACATCAAGGCTTTAGCTCTCAGTTCAGCAACATGTTTATAAGCCTTCCATAACAGGTAATAGGTGACAAAAGAAACCCAATAGGTAGCTATAAGGAACGCCCACAACCTCGGACTTTTTGCCTGTACATACAATGCAAAAAGTAAACCATGTGACTTACAGTAAGAAAATTCCAGAAGATTCTGCGGGTTAGAAACTTTGGCCAATCAATCATACTGGAAATTTCAATCACAGCCAGAAGAAAGTTGTATTGCTTACTTTGACATTCGCCATTGATAACTTGTCGAGGTCACTGAAAGTCCCATTGCTTGAAGTATCTGAAATTGACTTCGAGTTAGCAGCATTATCAGTTGCGGCCACAGATAGAAGAACCGGGAGCAGAATTACACCAGATAAAGCCAAAATTCCCAGCACTGTCACATTAATTAGGAAATAAAAAACTCATCAGAATTTTTGTGTCCTTTTGTCCTCAACACTAATGATTCATCTATAATACATGGATGCATAGAGATAAATTAATAAAACGTAGAGTATAGAGTCAAAAACAGAGGATTTATAACAATGGAAAAGCTAGAATAAGAAAACAGAGGACTTGGCAAGGATAATTAAAATAGAAAAAGAAGCCAGCCATCCACAAGCTCCTTCAAATCAGAAGAAAATCATAGAAAAACTCCAAAAGAAAGCAACAAAATTTTATATCTTTTCAACATAAAATTTTAAACTAGAACTAAAACAAGATGCAGATCTAAAACCCTAAACTTCGGAGGTGCCAAAAAGAAGAACAAAAACAGTTAATTAACCGAAGCAACTGAAAAAAAAAAAAAAATTGTACAGAGATTAGGAAACTGGAAAAGCAGAGGAGACAGGAACAGAGAGATAGGTGTACCTGTGCTCAAGAACACAAAGTACACGGCTGTGTCAACACCAGACATGTTAAGCACATCCTGCTCACTAGAAGACAACGCTTCCCAGATCCACGCAAACGGGTTTCGAATGGAGGACCTGCCATCTGCAGGATCCAGACCCTTCAGAATCCGGTTCGGATAGTACACGACGGCGTTCCCCGGCTTCCGGGAAAGCCAGACGAAAAGCAGCATCAAAACGAGGAATATGACGAAGGACGTCACTAGGGACGTCACAAAGGAACTGAAATCCATCTGGTTGTGTGCTCAAAATCCTTCCTTCCTCCTCTTCTCTCTCTGTACTTCTCGCCCTGAAATGAAATGTGGTGTGTTTATAATTCTGTAACGTGAAGGGGGCACGAAAAGTAGCCGTTAAGGCGACATAAATCAACCGTTGGAAACTAAAGAGGAAAAGTCTTATGAAATGCAATGTGGGAAGAAGGTGAAGTAGTTGAGTTATGGTGTGTATGGTTTTGCTTTATCTAAGATCGCGTTTGGTTGGCCAATTGTCCCGGAAATTGAATCCAGGAAAGCCACGGAGTTTAACCCGACTAAAGTGGTCCCAAATTTTCAAAAATATGTCGGGAAAATGAGAATTGAGTCTCAAGTTTTCTATTTCGTGTTTAAACCGTGTGAAATTATAAAATAAAAATGATTAAATAAAAAAGAATGTTTAATAGTATGAGATTTATTTTTTATTTAACTATTATTATGATGTAATTTGATACAATATAAATTATATAATTTTTTTAAAAATTTTACTCATTATTAACACTTGCATATTTGCTTAAATGAAAATATAAAAAATTATTTTGGGATGTAGTAGTTGATTAACATATTTGAGAGTTGAGAAAGCCAAGATATCATGGTATTTAAGACGTTTATTATAATTATTTATTGAATAAATCCTGAGAAAATGATCCACTTATAAATAATTATGTTTTGAACGTGAAAACGCCCTATTTTTTCATATTTATAACATATTTAATCAGAAAAAACAAAAAATCCCAGCATAGATAACCAATTAATTTCTTTTTTAACTGCTTATATCCACTTACATGCATATTTCTAGGAAATTCAGCCACATGGACCATGCCGGCATCATATCTGGCTCGGGTTCTCGAAATTTAATTTCCGAGACAACTGGCCAACCAAACGCGTGCTGAAGGGGAAAATATCCGGGGGGCTAGTTGTGTCGGTAGGGTCGGGCTAAGCAAATGATTTGTTCTGCTATCTTGAGAGAAATTTAAATAATGGTATTTGATCGTGTTTCCAGGCAGTTAATTGATTCACTTTCATGGGTTTAATGCTGAGACTTGATAAGAAAGGAGAAAGAGGAAGTTGCATAATTGGATAGTGGGACACGAAATTGCGTGTTCATTTATTTGTGGGCAAGAGCGACGGATGACAAGAAGCAGAAAAACCAAGGAAAGGAAAAGACCAAAATTATCCTTTTGTTTTTGATTTTGTGTTTCTACATTGAAGTTTCAACTACTTTCAGAAATTTTTTTAAATTTTATGTTACTATTTTTGTATTTTAAGGAAATTATTATTATTTTTTAATAATTTTATATGAGGTAAAATTTAAATCGTTATTCCAAAAAAAAAATTTACTTAAATATGATTTGACGTCACTAGACCCAACAACCAAATATTTTAAAGAAATTGTTATAATTTTTTTCTCATAAGAAATTATTATAGTTAATAGTGCAATGAAAGTCAAGGAGTATATTTTTAATGCACCTACTCATGTAGGTATCATAATTGTTATAAAAAAAAAAGTCGTCAGATTTGGTTCATAACCAATATAAAATATAGTGTATTTCTATTTTCTACACATGTGAATCATTTTTCTATATCTTTTTTTATGAAAAATCACTTGTGATGTACTCTGTCATCTTAAAAAATTATCTTTTGATTAAATTTTTAGTTTGAATGAATTATTTTTTTAAAATGTTTTTAAGGCACATTATTTTTTTATTATATTCTTATAATTTGAATCTATATATTTAATAATCCATCTAAACGTAAATAATTATTAGTAATTGAAAAAATAAAATATCTTGAATTAAGTACAGTAAGTGAATTAAGCTTAAAAATTTATTTTAAATTATGTAATTTAAAATTAAAAAATATTAAAGTAATTAAATATTCCTTTAAATCAATTATAACTGTTCATATTTTAATTTTTTAAATATTAATTTTATATAAAAATTTAATCAAATATAATAATAATAATAATAATATTTAAAATTTGTAACTTAATAATTATTTATTTGATCGTAAAATATATCTTTAAATTTTAAAATTAAAGTTTGAATTTTTTTTTAAAAAATAATATCCTGTTAAATATATATATTAATAATAATTAAAAAAAAATTTTACTCGTACTATGTGCAATAAAGAATATACTAACTGTACACTGCAAATTAAAAGAGTCATGTTCTGTAAAGGACGAGCGAAGCTTTAACTTGAAAAGTAAGTCCTGTTTTGTCATTTCTTCAGACAAAAAAAGGGGAGCCTTATCCACTAAAAAATATCTAACAGCGCCCACATGCCACATCACCCTCAATCCGAGCTCTCCTCTCAATCTACTTTTCCACGTGGCACCATCACATGTTCCCGACATCCATGTCGCCACCACGCCCCTGGCGAGTACCGAGCATAATCTACCCAAGCAAGTGGAGATTTGTCTTAACTCTTAAGTCTTTAACCAAACTTGAAAGCACCTTCACGACGTCGTCCACGTGTCGGGCTGTCTGCGGTGCCGACATTGAGGACAGTTACGTTGTTTCCCGGTACTTCCGTTTTTTCCCCGTGGAGACAGCGGACCCAGT